CATTTTTTTTCTTTCCATTTGTTTAGAAATCCTCAGGTCACATGCCAAGACTGACAATTCAAATCATGTTTTAAACTACCTTTCAAGTTTCAATCCTAAATTTGCGGGCATTCATGATAAATTATATCTGGCGTTCAAAACCTAGAAAATAGGTGGATTGTATGAAATATATGTTTAGTTATGCCTTTTATAATATTTTTTAATTAAAATTATTTTTGTTTTTGTTTTAACATCACATGTTCAAATTATCAAAAATTATATAAAAATATTAATTTAATTTTTTCTAATAAAAATAATTTTAAAAAAACTTTAAAAAATAAATTAAAACACATTAATAATCAGACTCTAAGCTTATAAAAAAATGTTTAAAACAGTGGTAATGAATGTTTTTTTTTGTATTTTTTATTTAAAAATATATTAAAATAATATTTTTTATTTTATTTTTTATATTAGTATATTAAAACAATTTAAACACATAAAAAAATTAAAAATTTTAAAATTCCGGTTGGAACTCTCTCACATAAAAAAAATTAAAAATTTTAAAATTTTAAAATTCCGGTTGGAACTCTCTCTTTTTACAAGATTTTACTTGCTTGTTTCTATCCTAACAATAACTTTTTTTTTCTGGTTACCAATTTATGAAAATAATAATAAACTTATATGTGGGTGGTGTAAACTTTATGGAAACAATATCAAATTCATGCTCTAATTTGATATATGATTTTTATACATAAGGAAATAACATATATTTATATTATTTCCTTATAACTGATTTGCTAGAATCTTCTATTTACCTATTTGTTTTCCTTGATTTAGTATTTTTATTTGTATGATACTGTTGCATTTTCACTTCTATTATCTTAGTTTAATTAAAGACATTATCTATCATAATGATATATGATTTTTATACCTAAGGAAATAACATATATTTATATTATTTCCTTATAACTGGTTTGTATGATACTGTTGCATTTTCACTTCTATTATCTTAGTTTAATTAAAGACATTATCTATCATAAAAAATAAATAAAAAAAACCCTTTTTCCTCATGTAAAAGATGTAATTTTTCTATAAACATGGGTTTATGATTCTCAAGAATTACTAAAATGTTCGAATAAATTGTTCAAGAAATCTTTCATGGAATGTCAGTGTAATTAATAAATAGTTAGTCATATTATTATGGAACCTTCGACTGCATAGAACAATTCCTTCCGGTTAGGCGAGTTCTTCACTAGAAAATAACGCCTTGGGCGCTTTTGAACCCATTGAGAATGGTATTTTTTTTTAAAAAAATTAACATAAGTATTCAATCAAGTCAAGGTTATATATATCTCAATTAATTTTATAAATTTTAAAATTAATAATTATATAAATTTTTAATAATTATAAAATTTAAATTAATAACCTCTAAAATTATGCTACATAATTATATTTCTGGAAATGCCAGAGATACTGTTTTTTAGCTCCTAGAGAATTGGTTTGGGAACCGGCAGTGGTCATTAAAGTACTCTTCTTCCATGGATGGATTATCCGATGGGTTTTATGGGATTTTTATTTCCCATTTTGCCTGAAAACAAATCTTGAAAAAATTTAATTGCGTTGCCAGAAAAGTAGAAAAAGGATTGGTATTATGTGGATCTCTTGTGTCAAGTGGTAAAGAGATAGCTTTGTAATCATATCTATAGTGTTTCCTTTGATAACATATATATAAATTATTGCATAACCATTCTTTTGTAAAGCAGCGTCTGGCAGTTTAATCCATCATCAAGTGGATTCCTTTCCAAGAAAATCTCGAAAGATTGCTCCTTCTTTGTATCACATGCCCACTTAAATGGCAAGGTTTTTTTCATTTTGATCCTCAAATGTTTTGAGGATATTTTATTTTAAAATTTCAAACTTAGTTTTTTTTTTAAAAAATAAAAATATTTTTTTAATATTGAGTTTATTAGATATTAGATTTTATGTTTGTTTTATGAAGTTACTATAGCTTTATAACTCAAGTAGCGAGTTTTGCGGGCTAGTCGTGTTAAGTTATGTTTTTCTTTATTTGTTTAATTATTTTTTTTATCATCTTTCAACATTGAATTAATTAATAATTAAATTTTATAATTTTATTTTTATTTTATTTTTATAGAGTTATCACAATCTTATAATTCAGGTCGCTAGTTTTGCAGGTTAGTCATATTAAATTCAAAAAATTTGGATTTTTTTTTATCACTTTTTAATTATTTTTTTATCCTTCAACATTAGATTTATTAGAAAATGAACTTTATAACTTTTTTTTAATTATTTTCTATAGAGTTATCACGGTCTCTTGACATAGGTTTATTAGATTAACTCGAGTTGATTCAAGTTATTTTTTTATACCCTTCTTTTATTTGATTCTTTTTTCAATTTAACCCTTCAACATTGGATTAATTAAGAATTAGACTTCATATAATTTTTTTATTTACTTTCTATAAAGTATCACGGTCTTTTAACATAGGTTGCGAGTTAGGTCAGTTGACTCAGGTTTTTTTTTTAAATTTTTATATTAAATTCTTTTTAGTTTCATCATTTAATATTTGGTTGATTGAGAATTAAGTTTTATACTTTATTTAAATTTACTTTCTATGAACTTATTTTGATCTTATGACTTGAATCAAATGTTTGTTTGGTTGACTAGCGTGATTTTTTGCATCCATTTTCAATTGTTTTTTTTTTATTAATCCTTCAATATTGGGTTGATTGATAATTGAGTTTCATAATTTATTTTGATTTATTTTTTATGGGTTATGCATGTCTCATTACCCATATTTAATATATTAACCCAAGTTTACTATATTGTTTTTTATAGTTAAATTTTATTTTCAATTTTATCTATTTATAATGGATTGATTGAGAATCGGGTATAATGATTTTTTTTTATTTGTTTTCTATAAGGTTATTAGGGTATCATGACCTACTTAGCAAGTTTGATATGTTAATCTAAGTTGATTTGAGTCAATCTAATATGTTGTCTTTTCAATATTTTAAAGAAAATGTTATCTTAATTTTTTTAATTAAACTATATTTTTATCAATTATTCAAGTTGTTTTTGGCCCAATCAAATTGACCAGTTCATATTAAATTAATTTCCATATAATTTAATTATTTTTCCACTAAAAAACATATTACAACTCTTGAAAATATTTTCTACCGTAAAAAAAATTTAACTCAACCTGTGATTTAGAATATGCAATGATCTAGTTTCTATACTATTCAATCTTCTCTAATTTTTATTTTTCTTTAAATTTTGTTTTACTCCTAAAAATACCCTTCAATTGTTTTATAAATTTCTCAAAATGTCTTGTTTTATTTATTAATTCTAAAAGTTGCCATTCTTATATTTCTATAGCTTATTTTATAATATTATCTTGTTGCTCAATTTGTATTTAAAATTTTTTAGTTTTATTTATTACCTCAAATAATAAATCGGTATCATGATTTTGTTACATAAAAATTATAGGTATCCAGACTAGATATAAGAAATATTAATAAACTCTTTTTTTTTTAGTTAAAACTATTATATTTTTTGAGAAATTTGTAAGTCTGAATTAAAAATTATATAATTATACTTGTAACTTAAAGTCATTTTTTTTAAGGTTGCAAGAGCAAAGACGTCATAAAAGGATAAAATCTTACAATAGAAAGGTACTCGTGCATTGATGGAAGGTATGCGTCAAGAGTGAGTGTGAGTGTATTATTCCCCTTCCATCTTTCTATATTATCTATACTTTAAAAAAACATGGAAAAAAAATACTATACTTATAATGTGAATATAAATTTATTGTATTCTGAATCACACTATAAACATAAAATATTTATACTATGAACAATATTATAACACTAGAAAAACATTATCTTTTATGTTTTAGTCAAAAAATATTGTTAGGTTTAACTTTACCACCAGACCTAATACTATTAGTTTTTTTTACTCGATTTCAAATAAATGCATCAACCTCATGTCTAATGTTAAAGTGTTATTGGGTTTAGTTTTGCCATCAGACCCAATAACATTATATATTATTTGATTGTCAAACTCGATGTTGTTAATTTTTTTGTTTTTGAAAATATATCAGTTTCATGTTTAATATTAAAGTATTGTTGAGTCTAGCCTAACAGTAAAATTCAATTAAACCTTATTTGACCATGAGACTCAGTATTATGGGTTTTTTTTTTTTACTTGATTTCAAAGAAATACATCTTCCTCTTATCTAATGTCGGCCACAAACCAGTTTGAAATACAAAAACTCCTCTTAAACTCCCAATAATAAAGTAAAAAATGTTGAAATAATTAAGATCAAACATAAAAAGGAGGCTAGAATTTTGAATAATCTGTATATTATGAATGCTTAACATTAACTTAAATACAGATAAAGTATATATAGGTTAAACTGAAAGTACTATTCTACCCTTAATAAATAAGACTACATAAATATTATTTAACATCTCCCCTCAAACTCATGATGTGGCAGCTACAAGCATCGAGAGTTTGCCAACCAAAAAATAAAAACGAGAGATGAAATGTGCCTTGGTAAAGAAATATGCAATCTACAAGGAAAAAGGAACAAAAGGCAAAGCAATGGTGCCATGTTTAAGATCTTGATGAGTAAGATGACAATCGATCTCAATATGCTTATTTTGCTCATGAAAGATCGAGTTGTAAGCAATCTGAATAGAACTCTAGTTGTCACAATACATAGATGTATGATGAGAAAAGAAAACTCTCATATCAGCAAGTAACCAATGTAACCAAACAATCTCTTTGGTAGTATATATCATGGCATGATATTCTACTTCGGTGGATGATTGAGAAACAATAGATTGTTTCTTGCTCTTTCAAGAAATTAAAAAATCACCTAAAAAGATACAGAACCCGATAACAAACTTGCGATTTATGGGATCACTACCATGATCAGCATCAGAGTATGCATGCAACTCCAAGGAAGAGGTATATGAAAGTAAAAGACTCTGAAAAACTATACCCCAAAGATATCATTACGAAGAACAGCTGCCCAGTGAACAGTAGTAGAAGAAACAACAAACTGACTAACTACACGAACATCATATGCAATATCTAGACGAGTAATGGTGAGATATACCAAATTCTCAATAATAGTGTGGTATAAAGTAGGATTTATCAAAGGTAAACCATCAGAAAAAGAGTACCTTGCATTAACCTCAATTGGAGTATCTACAGTCATGTTATCAGTAAGTCTAGTCCACTCAAGAACATCTGCAACATATTTTGACTAAGAAAAAAGGTAACCTCTAGGTGAGTATGCTACCTCAATGCCCAGTAAATATTGAAGATAACCCAACTCCTTCATTTCAAATCGTCTAGCCAACTCTGTTTTCAAAACTGAAATACCATCAATGTCATCACTAGCAATAATCCTATTATCAACATATAAAGACAAAATGATACGATCTGCATCAGTGCATTTAATAAAAAGAGCAAAATTATGATTGCTAAAAACAAAGCCAAGAGACAAGATCACAATAGAGAATTTCTCAAACTAAGCATGGGGTGCTTGTTTGAGACCATATAATGCTTTCTTAAGCTTACAAACATATCCAGAGTCAAGTGAAATACCAGGAAGGGGTGCCATATAAACTCCACAAGATAAATGAATTTATCGACTTGTACTAACACATCTTCAATTATTCCTCTAGGCACTTTTACAGATCTATCGGCAAGTAAAAGAGATATAGAAGTTGGTTTTAACTCACCTAGATTGAGACTCTGAAAAACTGAATATGAAAGTAAATTCACACTAGCTCCAAGATCAAGTAAGGCTCTTTCAATTTTATGCTCTCCAATAAAGCAAGAAATTGTAGGACAACCAGGGTCTTTATATTTCAAAGCATTATTGTTCTGAAGAATAGCACTTACTTGTTCGGCTAGAAAGGCTTTCTTTTTCACATTCAGTTTCCTCTTCACAGTGCATAGATCTTTCAAAAATTTAGCATAGGAAGGAACCTGTTTAATAGCATCCAACAAAGGTATATTGATCCTTACCTATTTGAAAATTTCAAAAATTTCAGAGTTGTGATTGACTTTCCTTTGTTTGGTCATGGCTTGAGGAAATGGAAGTGCTGGCGGTGAATCAGTCGTTTCTTTGCAATTTTCAGATTCATCCCCTTCCTTACCCTCAGAGATTGACTCATCATCTTTCTCATAAGGTTCAAGAGAGGGTTTTTCAATAACCTTACCACTGCGCAGAGTAGTGACTGATTTGACTTGATCCATGTGTTGGCTTCCGGAACTACTTGCATTTGCATTGTATTGCCCTTTGGGATTTTGTTGTGTTTGAGATGGAAACTTACCTTTCTCTTGGAAACTGAGAGCAGATGTTAATTTAGCAAGAGTATCTTTAAAATCTATCATGTTTTGAGCAAGTTGAGTATTGATTGTCTCTTGCTTTTCAATGAATGCATGCAATGTTTCCTCAAGATTTCTTCTAGGAGGTGGAGCATAAGGAGGTGCATATCCATGAGAATTTTGGAAATTATGGTGTGCTTGAAACGGTGGTTGTGAAGTTTGTGCATTGTCACTCTTCCAACTGAAATTTGGGTGATTCCTCCAACCAGGGTTGTATGTTTGGGAGTATGGGTTGTGGTTGGCCCTTTGAAAACTGTTTAAAGCATGGGCTTGTTCATGGAGACATTCTTTAAAAGAAGGCAAGGTTGGACAATCGTTGGTTGAGTGTTCATTTGTTTCACAGATTTGACACACAATGTTTTCAACAGATTTTAATTGACCACTCTTTTTCAATTCTAGTGCCTCGACTTTTCTAGCTAAAGATGCAAACTTGGCTTGAAGGTCATGATCTTCCCTAAGGTTGTACATACCTCCACTAGATGTATGAGGTTGAGTTTTACTCGGTGCCTCACAAGTACCCGCGGTGTCCCAATTTTGAGCATTTTCAGCTAACAAGTCTAAGTACTCCATTGCTTCATCAGGGTCTTTATCTTCAAAAGTTCCATTGCACATCAATTCAACCATTTGCCTATCTTTAGGTGTTAACCCTTCATAGAAATGTGAAACCAATCTCCATGTTTCAAAACCATGATGAGGGCAAGTACTAAGCAAGTCTCGATACCTATCCCAACATTGGTAAAATGTTTCTCCTGGTTTTTGAGTGAAAGTGGTGATTTGTCTCTTGAAAGAGTTTGTTCTATGAGATGGAAAAAACTTCTTTAAAAACTGTTGTTGCATTTCATCCCAAGCACGAATGGATCCTGGTCTTAAATTTTGTAGCCATGTTTTAGCTTTATCTTTTAATGAAAAAGGAAAAAGCTTTAATCTAATGGTGTTCATGCTACAATTTAAATTATTATATGTGTTGCAGACCTCCTCAAATTCCCTTAAATGCAAGTATGGATTTTCCAATTCCAAACCATGAAAAGAAGGTAAAAGTTGAATAATACCTGGTTTAAAATTAAAATGAGATGCATCAGGAGGAAAAACTATGCATGATGGTGCACTTGTTCTTGTGGGATTCATGTGGTCTCTAAGTGTTCTAGCACGGTTATTCTCATTATTCTCATTATGAAGTGATTGATTATCTTCTTCGGCCATATTTTCTGAAAATGATGAGGATACCCTACAAAGTCTACCACTTGATGTACGTGACCACACTCTCATGCACGTGTAGGAATAAAATAAAAAGAAGAACAAGAAAGCAAAAGAAGGAGGAAGAAAACAAAATAAAAAGAAACAAAAGAAAAGAAACAAAGTTATATACAAGAAAAGTGAAAAGAGAAAATAAAATAAATACTATAATTTATACAAGAACTTACCTCCCCGGCAACGGCGCCAAAAACTTGACACGACTAAAAGATTGATGTCTTCTCCCAAGTGCAGGAGTGTCGAAGTAATAAATAACCCGGCAAGACCGGGGTCGAACCACAGGGAGGTTAATTGTACAAATTATAAACAACAATTATAAAACAACAATAACAACAACAACAATAGTAATAATAATAATAATAATAATAATAATAATAATAGTAGTAGTAGTAGTAGTAGTAGTAGTA